TCTATGCACCAAATTGACTACTGAAAGTACAATAGAATACAGTAGACCATCTGGCATCATGGAAACTTCTGCCAAATGTGTCTCAATGGGTCCTGCAGACTGTACACTGTAAAAAATGACCGTGAATTTAACGGTAAAAGACTGTAAAAATGCTACAGTAAAAACCTGTTAAATGGTTAACGGTAAATTCCCCTACTATATACAGTGAAAAACTGTATTGGAAATTACATGTATTGGACATGAATTTTACGGTAGTATACCGTTTCTGGAAGTGAAAAAGACTGTATAATTTACAGTGAATAACCGTAAATTGACATTCCCAGAATTCCCTGCGTTACATTTCAAATTTGATGTTGTTTTTGTTGAAATAACTGTTTCTTCTTCAGTTTTGTATATTAGGGTTGTGTGTTACACCTAATGTTGTTAAATGAATGTTTATTGCATTATTTCAGTTTCATGTGTGTTACCATGATGGTGTTTGGTGTTTGTGTGAATGACACTGTGCACCTTCTATATATGTTATTATTTAAAAGCTAAGGTGTCCGTAGAGGGTTGGAGAGAGGCTACAGAATCCAGTCTGGTTCTCGACCGCTTGATTTAACAGGGTCACTCCGACACTGGTCTGCTGTACATGAGAGCTTTGCAGTGGTGGCTCAGGACCAAGGGTTTTTTCCCAAGGGGCAACCCATTTCTCATGATGCCTTCATGTGGAAGAACCCTTGGTTCTTGTCTCAGGGTCCTATGTTGGGAGCTCCTTGTCATTGCGTAACACTTAAGATAGATGCATCCTTCATGGGCTGGGGGGTGATCATGAATGCTCTTTATATATATATATATATATATATATATAAAGAGAGAGAGTTTTATAATAATAATAATGATGAAGATGATGATGATAAAGAAAGTCCAGTGTTTTTCTTCAGAAACACACACGTTTAACCATAGCTGGTTTTATGTGTGTATGTGTGTGTGTGTGTGTGTGTGTGTGTTAGTGTGTGTGTGAGTGTGAGTGTGTGTGTGTGCTTCCAAGCACACGGGCACCCGTCTGTTCCCGGGCAGAGTGCCAGTCATCCAGCGACCTGCTGCTGTTGCTCTGATACGACATTCCTCTGGCTCTGCCTGTGCCCTGCCTGACGCCAGCACTCCACACGAGCCCACAGTAAACACTCACAGCTGCTGAGATCAGCCAGTGTCTCCTCACACACTCAGCATGACTCAAAACATCACTTACAAACGTTTCCTGGATTTTCATGCTTGTGCTGGTGAGATGACATCAAAGAAATGAATCATGCATATATTTAATATAATCATAAATCATACTAAACATATTTATAAACATGATTTACATGTCAATAACATATTTTATGGTAGGTTGTAACAACACTCTTGACACTAATTTATATAATTTAGGCATAAGTTTTAGTTGTAGTTTTTAAAACTAAAACATGCCTGTATAAACATTTGAGACACTGATTTACAGATGAAAATATAAAAGATGTATGAAAAGTCTTGCTATTATACTATTATTTCCTACATAGTTTGTGTTTAGTTTGAACTGTGATTTTAGACTAAACTCTTAGTCAACTGTATAGTGTTCGCAGGTGACAGAGTGACACCTAGTGGAGGAGATGAATAGTGCGACTCATATGATCTTTAAAGGGGTCATATGATGCGATTTCAAGTTTTCCTTTCTCTTTGGAGTGTTACAAGCTGATTGTGCATAGATAAGATCCCTGAAGTTGCAAAGACTAAAGTCTCAAAACCAAAGAGATATTCTTTATCAAAGTGAAGACTCTGCCACGCCCCCCTAAAACCGCTCGTTCTAAAACGCCCCACATATCTACCTCACTATGTGGAAATATTAGCATAATGCCGCCCAAATGAGCACGCAAAGAAAGAAGGCGTGGAAATGTTAATTCAGTTATGAGAGCCCGATAAAAGATCAATATCAGTGATTATGCCAGAATTAAACATAGCTTTGCTTTATTAAGCTGTTAACTTTTTACGTTTTTACTGTTAAGTTTTATTCTAGCATCATGCATTCTATGCATCCGGATGAGATTCAGATCAATGATCAAAACACAGATGGTGTAGATGATTTCTATCAACACCCCCAAAGCTTGCATTTCATTCAACAGTTCAGTTTTGATTTACATGCTGTTCAATGTTTGATGATCGCATTATTTTACATATGTTTCCAGCCCTGGATAATTTCAGCCCATCCGGCCATGAGTTACCATGTGTTTGCTGGGGTTAGGCCCTTAAAAAGGAGTACATTAATTAATAAAATAAGAAAGAAACAATATGTATTATTGAATATACTGCAGATGCAGTTAACAAAAATAATATTGCATATATATGAATGCACATTTGATAGAACACCGCTGATTTTGAGCAAGGATACAGTAAAGTACATCTACTGCTATAAAAGTCACTTTACAAAAAAAAAAAAGAAGAATATTCTGTCATATTGCTCCAAACCAGACTTTCTTTCTTCTGCAGAAAATGAAAGAAGATATTTTGAAGATTGGTGCAACCAAGCCATTCACTTGACCATTCACCCTTGACATAGTGTTGTGGGAAAAACAACAGTTTCACAGAAGGAAGAAAGTCAAACAGGGTTGAATGACATGAGTGTGAGTAAATGATGACAGAATTTTTATATTTCATAGTCTTTTTAACAACAATAAGTTAACAACAATAATAACTCTTAATTTATGCAAGACTCTGATGTTGATCTTTCATCAGGCTCTTACTGGATTTGGTTTGAACTTTTTACTTTTGATTCATTTTAAAATTACTTAGAACTAAACGTATTTAAGGAGAAGAAAGCTTTGTCATTTCATGGCAGGCTTTAAAGCTCTTTTGTTAAGCAACAATAACAGATTATTTTGCTTCTAACATTTCTTCAACTGCCTTCAAAAATAGTTATTTTTCTTTTTTTTCCTTTACTGCCAAGTCAGCATTTTCTATTTGCATTCTTTTTATCTTTGAAAAACATACGTTTGTCGTGTATTTTTGTTTGTGTTTTTATCGCATGTATTATTACCCAGCAGGCACCTTGATATCAATTTGATGTCAAATATTAGTCAAGACTTAAATCAAGACGCTGCGACATCATTTTAAATTCAGTTTGTATGCTGATTTCTTCCAGTGGTAATTGGGTGAAAATAGGAAGCGAATCCCAGACTGAAACTGGTTTAATGTATATGTAGGCCAAAATGTTTGACGTTCAATTTACATCAAATCAACATCATGTCAAGTTTTTGACGTCAGTTTGATTTGCATACTTGACCTGCTGCTTTGAATTTGTGTGCGGTATTTTTGAGACCTTCCTGGCAGGTTAAGATTCATAAATATCTTTTTTTGGAGGATATTCCGTTCAGCCAATCGCGGTGAGCTTTTAATCCACCAATCAAAACACTCTTTACTGAACAGACTCAAGAAGCTCAACGCTGCGCTTGTACTGTGCATTGTTCCATGATCTGTATTGTGCTGTGCATTTATGAATTTTGATGGTGTAGATGATTTCTATCAACACCCCCAAAGCTTGCATTTCATTCAACAGTTCAGTTTTGATTTACATGCTGTTCAATGTTTGATGATCGCATTATTTTACATATGTTTCCAGCCCTGGATAATTTCAGCCCATCCGGCCATGAGTTACCATGTGTTTGCTGGGGTTAGGCCCTTAAAAAGGAGTACATTAATTAATACAATAAGAAAGAAACAATATGTATTATTGAATATACTGCAGATGCAGTTAACAAAAATAATATTGCATATATATGAATGCACATTTGATAGAACACCGCTGATTTTGAGCAAGGATACAGTAAAGTACATCTACTGCTATAAAAGTCACTTTACAAAAAAAAAAAAGAAGAATATTCTGTCATATTGCTCCAAACCAGACTTTCTTTCTTCTGCAGAAAATGAAAGAAGATATTTTGAAGATTGGTGCAACCAAGCCATTCACTTGACCATTCACCCTTGACATAGTGTTGTGGGAAAAACAACAGTTTCACAGAAGGAAGAAAGTCAAACAGGGTTGAATGACATGAGTGTGAGTAAATGATGACAGAATTTTTATATTTCATAGTCTTTTTAACAACAATAAGTTAACAACAATAATAACTCTTAATTTATGCAAGACTCTGATGTTGATCTTTCATCAGGCTCTTACTGGATTTGGTTTGAACTTTTTACTTTTGATTCATTTTAAAATTACTTAGAACTAAACGTATTTAAGGAGAAGAAAGCTTTGTCATTTCATGGCAGGCTTTAAAGCTCTTTTGTTAAGCAACAATAACAGATTATTTTGCTTCTAACATTTCTTCAACTGCCTTCAAAAATAGTTATTTTTCTTTTTTTTCCTTTACTGCCAAGTCAGCATTTTCTATTTGCATTCTTTTTATCTTTGAAAAACATACGTTTGTCGTGTATTTTTGTTTGTGTTTTTATCGCATGTATTATTACCCAGCAGGCACCTTGATATCAATTTGATGTCAAATATTAGTCAAGACTTAAATCAAGACGCTGCGACATCATTTTAAATTCAGTTTGTATGCTGATTTCTTCCAGTGGTAATTGGGTGAAAATAGGAAGCGAATCCCAGACTGAAACTGGTTTAATGTATATGTAGGCCAAAATGTTTGACGTTCAATTTACATCAAATCAACATCATGTCAAGTTTTTGACGTCAGTTTGATTTGCATACTTGACCTGATTTCTGACTTCGAACTGACGACTTTTAAACATCAGTTACCCACTGCGTTGCTAAATGCAAAAAAATAATAATAATATTGTAGCCACAGGTAAAACCATGCTCCTCATTGCTATGGGTTTATGATGAGAAAAAAAAATAAAATAATAATAATAATAAACAATGGAATTTGTCATGCAAAAATATTTTTTTGATGTTTGAAATGTATTACACACAAAACACTTTCAGTATTTATTTAAAAAACCGATGAGGCTCATGAGAAAATCACATTACACACACTCACATCTTTATTCATGACTAAACATTTGATGAACACTTTTTACAGAAGCTATGTGGTACAATGTAACAATAACAAACACCTACCAGTGTTAAACAGATGCTGGATTGCTACATTATCACTACCTTTAACAAACCAGTGCAGGGCTGCAGAAGACTGCATAGGGATGAAGAGTGTGTGAGGTGCTCCTCGAGTCTCTGAGAGCTGTGTGTGTGTGTGTGATTCAGGACTCAGTCCTGCTCTGCGCTGGGCTGGCGTCAGGCTGTGTGCTGAGCTGAGACGAGGGCAGGAGGCTCCTCAAGCCTGAGAAGAGCTGGCTGACTAAGGCCTCCATGGACCGGCTGTGTTCGGCCAGCACTCGGGCGATCAGACGCTCCTCTCGGAGGTGACTCTGCTCCAGCTGGCACTCCAGCCATGTGTTCTGGCTCCGCTGCAGTCTCTCCAGAAAGCCCTGATACTGACTGTGCAGCGCAGCACAACACGACCGCCTGCGCTTCAGCACGCCTGAGAACACAGCAGACAACGGCTGCCATCAGCTGCATGGCTTCCTCTGATCACTGTACATGAACAGGTGTGCTGTGCACAATGCTGATAACTCTCTAGTTCTCAAATCCTGCTCACTTTCACACGCCGACAGATAAAGATCCACCAGTAAATTAAAACAGACAACGTACTGTATATGTGATGCTGTGCAAACTAAACATATTAAAGTAGGAGGCCTCTAAATATAATCGGATGTCAGGGTGCAAGACTCTTTTCAGATTATAATTGCATTATCTTTATTTTGAGAAAAAAAAAAAAGTTACGTAATGTTGCTTTAATTCAGTATATTAAACTCGCCGGACACAATTTGAAACTTCACATAAATGAACCTCAAAGGCATATAATCATTTAATGCATCACATGACTGTTCATATTTAAAGGAATAGTTCTGCCAAAAACGAACAATGTGCTCACCCTCAGGATCATCCGAGATTAGGATGAGTGTGTTTCTTCATCAGGTTTGTAGAAATGTAGCACTGAGGATGAGCGGTGTGTGTCAGACCTGGAGCTGCGCTCTGCTGGGTGGAGGTGGAGGTGAAGCTCTCGGTGGATGTCGTGGAGCTCTCGTGTGACGCTTGTGTGAGGATCAGGGGCTCATTCTCTGTTTTCACTGACTGGATTTCCTGAATCCCACCTTCCACATCATCCACCACATTATCTTTAACACAGACAAACACGCAAGGTTAGAAATCCTCGAAAAGATCGCTCTGTGCCACACTTCACCGTTACTTTCATTGCACCACATTATGTCCTATTTTTGTCTGACTTAAGTTCTATATGCATGTGTGTTTATTTATTATTTCTTTATTGTGCCGCTTCTTTTCTGATCAAGACTCTCAATAGTTTCTGATAAAACTTCTTCTAATATCACGTGGCAATGCATCTACTTGCATGCACTAGAGATGTGCCACTCACCCCCACCCTCCTCTCCATCCTCGAAGGTGAAGCCCTTGCTGTCGGGCTCGGTGTCGGTGCTGACAGCCACAGGTCTGTGTCCGAAGATTTCCTCCATCGTGTCGAAGTGTTTGAAGGCCGCGTTAGAGCTGCTGCTGCTCTGCTTCTTGGCCTTGTAGTAGATGGACTTGAGTGTTTTCCAGCGGTGCTTGACCTGGTCGCAGGAGCGCGCGAAGCCCGCCTCCTTGTGCCGCGCGCAGACCCTCCGGAAGATCAGGCTGTTGCGGTGCTTGCGTCCGTCTCTGTAGCGGTCGATGTTCATCTCCTTCAGAGTCTGCAGGAGGAAATCCGTCTCCTCCTCGCTCCAGAAGTGCGTGCTCCTTCGGCTGCTCGACATCTGGATCTCACGGACGCCGTTACAGTATATATTCCGTTACAGTCGTCGGGATTCAGAATAAGACGTTTGGGTGAGACTAACGCCGTTTCCATTCGGGTTTCGGTAATGGACAGAACGGAAAGCTAGCCGCGAGGCTGCGCGTTTAAGGACACGGCCAATCACAGGGCTGCGCCCCGCCCCCATGCTGTCGAGCGCCCGCTCCCATTGGTCGATCTCTCAGCGGTTGCGGCCTGATAGGTCGGGGAGGCTGTCAGTCGATCTTCGGCCCGCCCCTCTGAAGGCAATCGGATTACAGCGTTCACATGACGCACAATAATCCTACACAGAAACATGAGAAATATGACCCAATACTCGCGCACAGGGAACATAGCTCTTCTGCATAATTAGGAAGTCCTCTTGGGAAAATACATGGCTTTGCTTTTAGCTTTTATCAGCGTTCATTCATTTCGGTTTAACGAAAAAACAGATTCTGATATATACAGTATACAAGTATAAAGCATTGCGCTTCGAGATTTAATCCTGCTTTTAAGATCAACAGAATGTATCAGACGCGAGTTGTTTCTTCTCTCTTTTTGTCCACACACTGGAATATATCCTGTAAAGTTTGTCTAACACTCGCAGTTGCGTTTATCAGCGCGGCGCGGCGGCTTTTATTTTGAAAGCGTCACTGCTACGCGCTGACGTCATCCCGCAGCGTCAGACACCGTGTTTCCTGAATCCTGAGCTGCTCGCGAAGACGTGTCGTGTGTTCGACTGGAATGCCACGGTGATCCCGGAGAGTTCAGCATGGATCGTCCGGACGCCACCTTCACTCTGGCGTATGTCGTGTTCGCGCTGTGCTTCGTTTTCACGCCGAACGAGTTCCGCTCGGCCGGCTTCACGGTGCAGCACATCTTCTCGCAGTGGCTCGGCAGCGAAGACATAGGCTTCATCCAGCACCACCTCCGGAGGAGCACTCTGACCGCGCTGCTGCACTGCTGCCTGCCGCTCGGTACGCGCCGCGTCCCCGGATGCAGTCACGTGCAGATCTCCATACATACTGCACCTGTGAAGGTAGAATGACGTCAATAAGATTTGCATACGCAGGGTAAGAGTTGTGGAAGTGTACATAAGACTGTAAGCGTAAATTAAATTTGCATGCGCAACAGAAGCTTTGTAAAGGTGTAAATCGCGTTTCAAGCGTAAGAAAAAATTATTTGCAGCATTTTACTGTTTAAATAAAACATACAGTAAAAAAATAAAATTAAAACATGATATTTTATAAGTTGTGTACCATTAGGCTGTGCGTTCATACTGAATTTCGAGCTGTGTAGTTTCCTTCTCTTCCTCAACAGGCTATACGATATATTAGTTTATTGTAATATTATATTGTAATTTTGATGATAATTAAAGAAGGTCTAGTATCTGCACTAGCCTAATATATGCATCATTTCACCTGTCTACTGATCAATTTTTTAAACACAAATTTGGTTCAATAATAATTGAACCAACAGTAATATTTTTTTATTTAACATGTTGTAATTTAAGGGGATTTTACAAAATATTACTAAAATATTTATTCAAATATTTATCTCTAACTTATTCACCATTTATCATCTGTAATACTATCGTGTAACCCCTAGATGGCTGTTTAGCTCTCTATATATAAACATAT